TTTTTCCTATTTAAAACTTGACTCTTCTGTAGTTACATCGTGTACTAAGACCGACGGAAAATTTTAAGTTGTGATTTTCTAGGCCGATATGGCTAGGCACTATACTCTCATTCCGGCGTAATAATCAAGGAACTTTGCTGCCGTACCGTGGGTACCAATATAGAAACTCTTTGGTCATTTTTGAGCCGCTGCAGTCCGTACATTTTGTCTCTTTGTCGCCATCTCTGTTTGAAACCTGCAATTGCCTGCATAAAAGTAGCCTATAGCGATATGGGTGCTCGCTCTCACCATAATGTTTCCCTCGGTGTTAATGTTGACCGTCGAGCAAGAAAAAGGGCATGTCATGGTTCACAGTGACAACAGCACATACCCGCTGTACTCCTGCTACGAGACCTGGCCCGACCCGGAGATGAGGAAAGTGTACACCACCGTCCTGTTCGTACACATATACGTCATTCCCCTGTTGCTCATCATGCTCATGTACGGCCGGATCGGTGCAAAGCTGTACGCCACAGCCATCCTAGCCAGCGCCGAGCGGCCCGATGTTCCCACGTCTCAAAGAAAGATCCGAGTGATAAAGATGCTGATTGTGGTGGCTCTGCTCTTCATGCTGTCCTGGCTGCCGCTGTGGACGCTCATGCTGCTGACCGATTACGCTCGTCCAGACGAGGACAATCTGGAGCTCCTCACTAGCTATATATTCCCTCTCTCTCACTGGCTGGCCTTCTCCAATTCCAGCGTAAACCCCATTATTTGCCTGCATAAAAGTAGCCTATATAGATTTTTTTCTTTGCATCCATGAAATTTACATAAAATAGTAAGTTCTATTAGTAACATCCCAGCCTAAACACCCTTGATAAAATACTTGTTATTAAATCATTCACAAAGCACTGTTATTTTCAACAGAAAAGCAAGCATAAGCTGCTGCGTGCGTAGTTTGGCAGAATGCGAGCAAAGAGTGCTCCCTTTATAATCTCTAAAAAGATGACATCTCAGTTCATCGCGATCTCACGAAGCTCTGTTATGTGTGTGTATATATATATATATATATATATTAAAATAATACAAATATTAATTAAATATATAATTGATACATAAATTACATTTATAAATTTGATAAATTATATAATATAAATTATAATTTGATATTTATTATGTATAGCACATACCCGCTGTACTCCTGCTACGAGACCTGGCCCGACCCGGAGATGAGGAAAGTGTACACCACCGTCCTGTTCGTACACGTATACGTCATTCCCCTGTTGCTCATCATGCTCATGTACGGCCGGATCGGTGCAAAGCTGTACGCCACAGCCATCCTAGCCAGCGCCGAGCGGCCCGATGTTCCCACGTCTCAAAGAAAGATCCGAGTGATAAAGATGCTGATTGTGGTGGCTCTGCTCTTCATGCTGTCCTGGCTGCCGCTGTGGACGCTCATGCTGCTGACCGATTACGCTCGTCCAGACGAGGACAATCTGGAGCTCCTCACTAGCTATATATTCCCTCTCTCTCACTGGCTGGCCTTCTCCAATTCCAGCGTAAACCCCTTTATCTACGGCTACTTCAACGAGAACTTCAAGAGAGGCTTTCAGGCTGCGTGTCAGCATCAGGCTTGTCGCTGGGGCCGAAAGAAGACGAGATTCAGCATCAAACAGCCCAGAGCTGGTAGCCCTTTGAATACAGCTGTTAGCAGCCATCCGCTCAGCTTAGGCTCGAGAACGAACCGGATCTTCACCGAAAGTGACCTGACGGGATGCGTTTGTCTGGAGCTGGAGCACCGGAGAGTGTCGATAGACACCAAGGGCTCTTCGGCTGAAGGGGGAAACTGCAGCATGTCCATAAAAAGGGAAATTGAGAAAGTGTCTTCAGCAGGAGGGAAAATATATAACGCCTGGGAGCGTTGATTTATTAGCCATCCTGATTTATCTGTTGACATTTATTGGCGCTGGCATGCTTCTGTTTTCTTAGTCACATTTATTTCTGTAGCGCTTTATACAATACAAATGGTTTCAAAGCAGCTTCACAGTAATGAACAGGAAAATGTCAATCAATCATGGAAACTCAATTATGGAGAAAATTCGTATTTTGCTGCCCTAAAAGACAATAGTGTCATTATGATCGTGATAAACCCATATCATGCAAGAAAAAAAAAAGTATTATTTATGCTAGTGTTAAAAGGTTTGGAATCATTTTATTTATTTATAAATGAGTAATATTTATTTTTATTTAAAATTTTATTTTAATTTTTTTAAAAGAAGTCTCTTCTGCTCAGCAAGGCTGCATTTATTTGATCAAAAATACTGTAACAATTGTGAAATTGTGAAATATTATTATAATTTCAAATAACTGTTTTCTATGTGAATATGTGTTAAACTGTAATGTATTTCTGTGATGCGCAGCTGTATTTCCAGCATCATTACTCCAGTCTTCAGTGTCACATGATCTTCAGAAATCATAATAATATGCTGATTATTAGAAACATTTCTGATTATTATCAATGTTGAAAACAGTTGTGCTGCACAATATTTTTGTGGAAACCGTGATTCATTTTATTTTTCAGGATTCACAGATGAACAAAGTTCAAAAGAACAGCATTTATTTGAAACAGAAATCTTTTGTAACATTATAAATGTCCTTACTGTCACTTTTGATCAATATAATGCATCCTTGATGAAAAAAGTATTAATTTATTTAAATATGTATATATATGCAGACATAAAACTAAGCAGAATAAAGCTCTCAGATTTCTCAGATTTTATAAACTAATCATGAATGTTAGTTAGAGAAGAGTTTAATACACAAGATGAACGTGACCGCAGTGTTGCCTGTGAAATTATATTCCATAATAACTGTAAATGATTGTCTAAGTATCATCTGCCTGGAAACATATGTGAAGCGTTTTATCATTTAGCCTTACAGAGAAAATGTGCGAGCTGACATTTAACGAGTGAAATGAACTGCTCTCCCTCTCTATAGAATATTATATATTATTTATGTGAAATGTGTAATTTATGCATAAGCAAATAGATTAACGATTAAACTGGAATATGAGACATACGTTTCTTGACTGATTTTGATCAAGTAAAGGTCAGAATGACTGCAGTAATATCTCCAGATGAACACTTACTGGACTGAAGCAGCTCAGCTTTACTTGATTCTCCATCAATCATGTTTTAGAGTCTCAAATCTGATCCTCAGGATCTTTTGAGGAGTGTTTGTTTCCAGAAGCTTTACTTTCACTGTTCCTCAGCGGAGGAATGATCTTCACAAGCCTCCAGAACATCTCACATCTTCTGAGGAGACTTTCTTCATCTCTCAATCATTGCATTGCATTGCATTATATGTTTGGATCATTTCAATCTCATCTTACTAAGACATATTATTAGAGATATAGAGTGACGAGTGATATTACTCAGTTTGGGCATCTGAATAAAACTGAGCGGTTTTTTTCGCATCAGAATTTCATCATAGAAATATCAGCATCTGCACCAGATTCATATTTTTGCTCAGTTTGAGTCTCTGAATAAAATTGAGCTTAATTTTCTCACTCTATCAGATTATATGAGCCATAAAAGCCTGATGCATCAAATATGATACAAAACATGAAAATGTTTTTTTTTTTTTCAAAAAATACTTTGTCTAAAGATTCAGTAAACTGTTCCGTTTCAAAGAGCTAGATTTTTCTGATGATTATTTCATAGCTCATTGCTGAAGGACTTTTACAGGTCAGAATGTCAGCGTTTGGACTCATGCAGCTGTAATCATATGATTGCACAAATCAAGTCTAATGATTACACCTTACAGCCGCTGAAGAACGGGCAGTTTGGCTCAGGTTGTGAGAGACATGTCCTGCGGTTTATGGGTTTTATTTCTGACACAATCAGAGGACAGGTCACTGAAGTGATCAAAAGTCAGAAAAACACAATCATCAGCAATTATACTTCAGGAATTATTCAACCCAATTTGACAATCATTTACTCGCAATCATGACAACCAAACATGTGATTTAGGTACTTGAATTGCATATAAAAATTCCATTCATTTGAATTACACACGCAGTAAAACAAAAAAACACGTCAGAAAAACACAATCATCAGCAATTATACTTCAGGAATTATTCAACCCAATTTGACAATCATTTACTCGCAATCATGACAACCAAACCTGTCTGCACAGGAGATATACACTTATACACTATAGTATATGCTGTAAATTCTTCTGAAATCATATGTGAACTGAAATTTAAGATATTATTCCCTCATAATCCTCCCCTTGCACAATAAATGAAGTACATACATATATCAATTAATTAATTTTGTGATTTAGGTACTTGAATTGCATATAAAAATTCCATTCATTTGAATTACACACGCAGTAAAACAAAAAAACACGCATATTAAAAACTTAAGTTCAGTTGCTGCCTTAAATTTTTAAGGATAATCAACTTGGCCGTACAAGTCAAGTTCAACTTAAATTATATTTAGCTTATTTTAAAAATAGAGTTGAATCTTATAACTTATAAAAAGAAGTTGAAAGTTAAAATTACCTTTATAAAACCGACGTGTCAGTTAAAATCAAACAGATGCAACTAGTTAAAGGGATAGTTCACCCAAAAATGAAAATTAGCCCATGATTTACTCACCCTCAAGCCATCCTAGCTGTGTATGACTTTCTTCTTTCAGACGAATACAATCGGAGTTATATTAAAAAATGTCCTGGCTCTTCCAAGCTTTATAATGGCAGTGAATGGGTGTTGAGATTTTGAAGCAAAGTAAAGTGCATAAATCCATCATAAAAAGTGCTCCACGCGGC